GTGTGCGTGCATGCGCGCGTGTCTGTGTGACACATTAATGTTTTTAGGAGAATAACTTAAATAGTCTTGGTTGGCACGAGATTTCTTGTTTCCACTGCTCAAAGTCTTGTTCTTCAATTGGCGGTTAAGTAGCATGTCTATACAGATGGACTTACATGGAAGTAAAATGGGACCAAAGAGAATTAGGGACAAAAATGAATATAAGGTAGAAGACATTTGTTGAGCTCTTCGAAATGGTAACGGAAAGGATGACTTTGCATAAACTGGTTGAGGTACTGTGTTCCACAGGCAGAAAAGAGGTGGGAAAATTCGATTAATAATACAGTAGAACCTCGTTAACCCGAATTCCAAACGATCGAATGTGGAAGCCAAAGACTAATACATATATTATACCACTGCTACGGGGCTGAGAAGTCACGAGGTATGGCATGCACCTCGAGTGCTGGAGGTCCCGGGTTCATGCCCAAGTAGAGGCTGGGATTTTTTCACGTGGACTTCTAGTATTTTCCCCTAATCTCTGCGTAGTAAGATCAGACGCCCGTGTGTATTGTTGGCCACGTAAAAAAATCCCTTGGCAGTTAGAAATCGAAAAGAATACCCTAAAGACGATGCACGGGCTAAATTTTGAGTTGAAAATCTACCCAAAGGGTTTTAGCATCCTCGCCAGTGCTACGGAATTCGTGCACTGCACTGCGATTCTTCGGACTCAGGCTTGAGTTGAAAGTAGAACGGAGCAGTTTTGGGTTACAACCATTGTGCCAGGATGTTGATCCGTTGTTTAAACAGAAACAAAGACTGCGAGCACCAAAATTGTGTTCATGATAACCGTCTGTTATTATTAAGCGCATTCGTGTTAACGAGATTTTACTGTAATAATAATGAGAAGAAGAAGAAGAAGAAGAAGAAGAAGAAGAAGAAGAAGAAGAAGAAGAAGAAGAAGAAGAAGAAGAAGAAAGAAGAAGAAGAAGAAGAAGAAGAAGAAGAAGAAGAAGAAGAAGAAGAAGAGAAGAAGAAGAAGAAGAAGAAGAAGAAGAGAAGAAGAAGAAGAAGAAGAATTAGAAGAAGAAGAAGAAGAAGAAGAAGAAGAAGAAGAAGAAGAAGAAAGAAGAAGAAGAAGAAGAAGAAGAAGAAGAAGAAGAAGGAGGAGGAGGGAGGAGGAAGAAGAAGAAGAAGAAGAAGAAGAAGAAGAAGAAGAAGAAGAAGAAGAGAAGAAGAATAAAGAATAATTATTACCTTTCTTGATTTTAGATTTAACTGTTTTATAAAAACAACATAAACTGATCGTTGTTTTGTTTAAATTAGTTGTGCTCATCTTTACTATGTGACCACTCTGTAATTTATGTAATTGTCATTATTTACTACTGCTTAACTCTCAGTTCTTATAATTTATAGCCTTTCTCCCTGTAGCCTAATGTCAGCTGGTTCCACTCGGTCTCCGTGCACAAGCACAATTATTGCACAATCCTTACATACCACCCTCGTTATTGCTCAACTTCGTTCTAAATCAAACCAGTTTCAATTAACGGCACCGATATTATAATCACACGAATACATTAGACGAAGAATCATGACCCAAACCCGCTCGCTCCGAGACCCACTCAGGCTGTCTACCCAGGCAGTAAATGTTAGGCAAGATGGATGTCCAGGATCAGAGATTAATCCACCGATCGACTGTAGGCCTGATTAACTGGCCTGAGTTCACGAGGTCAACGGCAAGTCTCCTTGGAAGGGCCTCGGTGTATCTCATTCGTGAGACCGCTCATAAAAATAGTTCCATATATTTATGATAGGTTGGGTTATTTGCTCCGGAAAGGCTCAGTAAAATATCCGGGAAACGCCATCGCAGACTGTTTTCTCAATTGTGTACTCGCCTCCACCATTTGGACCACATTAAACAAGATAACACATTTGTATAAAATTATACACGTAAAAAGGTTAAGTAAAGGACCCTTCTGGCATGTTGTATTAGACCGTTATATTTTTTTAAAACAGTGAGTACGCAAGAGATTGAAAATATTAGATTTTGAATATTTAGGCTCAATAATCTCTCTCTCTCTCTCTCTCTCTCTCTCTCTCTCTCTCTCTCTCTCTCTCTCTCTCTCTCTCTCTCTCTCTCTCTCTCTCTCTCTCTCTCTTTCTTGTTGTACCCTACAGAACATCACAAAAGTCATAAACACCCGGTGACACAAAGTGCCACCATGCGGATGAGGATCACCCGTGGAAAGGTCCCAGAAACCCCTTTCAGCCGTTATTGCTATATTTGTGGCCCGGCTATATCCCCACGTCGGCTCTGTGGCTAAGTCGAAGCGAACGCTTCGTAATGTCGGGGTGCCGGGTTAGATCCTAGCTGCGGGCCATGCGCCTTGCGCTGGTTTCGACAGTGGTATCGAGAAGCCGATCGTCCAGAAGCAATGGCAAACTACTTGACCTAAATTTGCCTAGAAAAACCACACAACAGCCAGGGGCTGTTGGGGTTGGTTCTGCAACGTGCAGTAAAGGATACGCAACTAATCTTCTCTATCCCATGACCCCCGGCAAAAGCCAGGGTAGGGCTTCAAAAAACGAAAAGTTGCATCCCACATAGGGACGACTTTTACATGGCTCAATAATGAACAACAATGGCGACTGCACAAAAGAAGTGTGGAAAGGGGGGGGGGGTTGGGGGAGAGGGGGGGGGGTCCGTCTTGTTTTAGCAATACAGAGGCTAAAAATATGAAGAATCTATGACATAACAATGAAAAGCAAGGTAAAGTAAGTTTGTTTTTTAGATCATGCATCTTTCTCATGGCAATTTATGTATATGAGTCATGGCTTCAGTCTTTGACGGAGAAATTCTAAACTTCTGAACTGAAATGCTACAGAAAGGGTCTTAGAGTACTGTAGACTAGGGCGAACAGAAGCCTCGACATCCTGCATGACGGCAACATTAAGGAGAACTGGCTTGTAAACAGCATCTTTACCCAAAAAGCTGATGTATTTTGGACATATCAAGCGCTATGGTAGTCTGCAGAAAACAGTGATGGCGAATACAGCTTCCAGAAAACGATGCAGAGGCCGACCTCTGCGAAGTTGGATAGAGAACATTGAAGATGCATTAGCTTAGAAAGCCACAGGGCTGGATAATTTGCTAGAGAAAAAGAGACTTTCAGACGTGCCGTGAAGAAAGCAACGTGCTGTTAAAAAAAAAAAAAAAACCACGTTGATAGATTAATCTATTGATTGATTGAATCAGCATGCGATGTATGATGTGGTCACTATCACGATAGCCTTCTATACTTCACCGGATGCAACTTACTACACTTATGACCGTAATATAAGAGCTACTTAAACATAAACCTTAGCTGCGATCGTTAGCTAGACACGCGAATTTCATCCGTCCGCTGAAGTACGCGACAGACTCTATGTGATATGGAAGTTATACATTATTTAATAAATAATTAAATAAATGTAAATTTTTTGTACTTGACTATATGTAGATTTGTGTACTTAAATAACAGTAGATTTTTGTACGTGAATTATCGTATGTCATTAAAAAAAAAAAAACCCCAAGCAGTTTGGCCAGAGCAAAAATGAATATAAGACTGTCCTTCTCTCTCTCTCTCTCTCTCTCTCTCTCTCTCTCTCTCTCTCTCTCTCTCTCTCTCTCTCTCCGTCCATCAGGTAAATACGGTATCGCAGCCATCCATCTTTGTGGTGACCGTGATTTGTCAGTTGATTGATTGATGCATTGAATGGATGACCTACACTTCCATTTGCCATCACTTCACTTTGAGAGAAGGTTGTGCAACACAGTGAATTTAACGTTCACCGGCCGAGGAAAGAAAAGAATACCAAAGGTAGCGAAGGTTAGTGACTAGCCAGTCGTGGAAAGCGACTAAGAAAGATGGTGCTTTGAAGGTTGAATTAAGACTCGACATCACAGCACTCGGGACACTCCAATTAGTGCTCCGTCCCCATCTTCACCAGCAGACGAAAAGATCTAATTCCGATAGTACCAGTAACTATCTGATTGTATATCCGTCTCGCCTTTTCCCTGAGTGTTAAGCGTCGGCTAGATCACCTGGTAACTCCCCGCAGCGATATTCTCATCAGACCGTAGTGATGCATTTTTTTCTATTTGGGGGACTGAGTGGTCTCGAGGCATGGCTTCCTCCTCGAGTACCGGAGGTCCCGGGTTCAGTCCCCGGTAATGGCTCTGGTATTTGAACGTGGACTTCTATTAGATTCACCTCGTCTCTGAGACACCCGTTTATATTAATGCTGGCGTAAAATATGTGTATGTATGTATGTATGTATGTATGTATGTATGTATGTATGTATGTATGTATGTATGTATGTATGTATGTATGTATGTATGTATGTATGTAGTATGTATGTATGTATGTATTTATGTATGTATGTATGTTATGTATGTATGTATGTATGTATGTATGTATGTATGTATGTATGTGTATGTATGTATGTATGTGTGTGTGTGTGGTGTGTGTGTGTGTGTGGTATTTATGTATGTATGTATGTCTGTATGTATGTATGTATGTATGTATGTATGTATGTATGTATGTATGTATGTATGTATGTATGAATGGGTATGTTATGTATGTATGTATGTATGTTTGTGTATGTCTGTCTGTCTGTCTGTCTGTCTGTCTGTCTGTCTGTCTGTCTGTCTGTCTGTCTGTCCTGTCTGTCTGGTCTGTCTGTCTGTCTGTCTGTCCTGTTTGTCTGTGTGTGTGTGTGTGTGTGCGTGCGTGCCTGTCTGTCTGTCTGTCTGTCTGTCTGTCTGTCTGTCTGTCTGTCTGTCTGTCTGTCTGTCTGTCTGTCTGTCTGTCTGTCTGTCTGTCTGTCTGTCTGTCTGTCTGTCTGTCTGTCTGTCTGTCTGTCTGTCTGTCTGTCTGTCTGTCTGTCTGTCTGTCTGTCTGTGTGTGTGTGTGTGTGTGTGTGTGTGTTGATCATATATACTGACAAACAATGGGAACTACATGGACAGACAGCAAACATACCTTATAGAAGTAGAAAACACTGTCCGTTGTGTAGTTTATAGACTGTGTGGTTGTGACAACGTCAATTATGTCTGCTGTAGCCGGGACATTTGGTGCCTCCATGATTGATCACAAACGAAGATTTCCGCAGGCGGGTCTAAATGGTTCTAGTACAGCTGTTACCAGATTCTTGCTTCTGGCTCAGAGATGTATATCCTTACTTGACATCAGAAATGTTCATTATATTTTTTTAAGCTTTATCACAGTCATCATTATTATCATCGTCGTCATCATCATTGTTATGTGCCATGGCGATAAGGGCTTGCTGTCATGTTTCGTCTAATCATAAGAACAGAATAATTACGAATCAAATTTAGTGCTTCTGACTCTACAAGAAAAATTATTATTACACAGTAAAAAAATACGGCGTCATTGGCTTAGGCGTTGTGAGTCTGACTCGTAATTCCAACGTACCATGATCGAAACCCACTGCTGTCTGCGTGGATTTTATCATGATATGGGGCGTCGCAGGTCGACACAGCCGAAAATGAATACCCGGTTGTATGTCCTGGAGAAGTAAAGACGGCCGGTGTAATGCGGACCACATTAAGCACAGAGTGTCGATTGGTCAGTAAAGATATGGATGCTCTTCTCTTATGCCCGATGTGCCCAAGGCGTGCACATGGATCTTTACTTTACGTACCTTTTTTTTAAAAAAAAAAAAAAAAAATATGACTAAATAACTCTTGGCTCGATCTGAAGTCAATAGGGCTCTTAATGTCTTATATTTTTTTTTACATCATTATGCAACTCCTCGGAATATTTCATGTCTATCGGACTTTTTTTTTTTTTTTTTTTCAAACATGACCTTTCCTTCTGGGTCGATCCAGTCTTAAATGGGTAGCAGGTAAAGACCTGGGATGTAAAGACGGCCGGCGTGATGCTGACCACATTACCCAATGAGTACAGATTGGTCTATAAAATGCATGTCTAGGTCTAAAAGCCCAATAAGTCCGAAGGCGGGGAAAAGTTTCACTCCCCTATTACGACCTGTATCATAAATTAATCAAGCAAACAGAAAGTGTATTGATTCGGCACTCATAGAAAGAAGTAGAAAGTTAGAAGAACACACTGGACAACATAAAAATTAAAAGCTATAGTTACCGTGCCGGGAATTAAACTTGTCACCTTCAGACGGCGTCTGCGCCTCGCCGTGAATACAAGTGCACTAAGAACATGGTCAACCAGGCACCCCCAAAAAGGTGTCTTATTGGCCGTTGTCTGTCGTTCAACTTGAAATCCACAACTATGGAATACGGACAGAATTCATTTCAAACCATTGAAATGGCACCATAGGTTACAGAAATTTATTTTGAACGAAGCATATGTCGAATAACAATCACAGCAACAATTTACGAACACAGTAGACCTTATTGCTTTGTCTAGAATACACAAACATTTAAGAAAGGTATTAGATTGGTAGGTTCCGGTATAATACAGAAATTAAGATGTTTGGAATACACGAGCCCTTATAAATATTTGATATAATGAACACATGGACATTGTCGGGCTCTCATAGAAGGAAGTGCCTAGTTGATCATGTGTCTTCGTTCTGTGTTCATGTAGCGAGGCGCTATTGTCATTAGGATGTGACTGGTTCAGTTCCCGACATGGTATCTATATCTTTAGATTTTTTTTTGTGTTGTCTACTTTGTCCTTTTATTTCTACTTTTTTTTGTGTGTCATCATCATCAGTGTCCACTTCTAAAGTGTAGAGTCGCTGGGAGGAATAGTTCGCGATCCATTGTTTGATATGCAACTATTGTCATTCCTTGTCGATGTAGAAGCTCTTTAATGTCATCAATCCATTTCCTCCTAGGACGGCCTCTTGTATTCACTTTAGATCTTTTCATGTGTAGCACCTGCGTATTTACATGTCTTCCCGTATCAAGTTGTTTCTTATTCATAATATTCAACAATGATCAGATAAACACATCCGATTACCGGCCCACGGTATCAAACGGTAAACTATTTCTACATTTATGTGACTTTTTAACGTTAAAAAAAATTATTTGCATACTTCAAAAAGTACATATTCACATTTTCATATAGATACACTAGAAACAAATAGCGCACGCATGAGCGTATGGTTCTGCAAAAATGTTACCACTTTCCCGTCAACTAACAAAGTGATGAACTATATTTGCGTTCAAAAAAGTGTGTATACTCGGCAGTAAAAGTCTGCTGGAAGCGTTGGCCGAAGCATGTTTAACAGCGCGTGTTCGTCTCACAGACGCAAACCGACGGATTTCGACTGTGGTTGCCAGTAACCGCCCAGTTTTCACGGATAACGCAAATGTTGCCACATTTAAATGAGTTGTTCTTTGGAAGATACAAACCTCTCTCTCTCTCTCTCTCTCTCTCTCTCTCTCTCTCTCTCTCTCTCTCTCTCTCTCTCTCTCACACACTCTCTCTCTCTCTCTCTTTCTCTCTCTATCTCTATCTCTCTCACTCTCACTCTCTCCCTCCCTCACTCTCTCCCTGCCTCATTTCATCCCTGATCGCCTGTTTCCTAGATAAGGTAACTGTTGTCAAAGTGAGATGTGGGGAAAATACAAAACCCTCTAGCCTCCCTCGCCCCATCCGATCACACCATATCACTGCTGCCTCCCTCGCCCCATCCGATCATACCATATCACTGCTGCCTTCCTCGCCCCATCCGATCATACCATATCACTGCTGCCTCCCTCGCCCCACCCGATCATACCATATCACTGCTGTTTTCCTCGCCCCATCCGATCATACCATATCACTGCTGCCTTCCTCGCCCCATCCGATCATACCATATCACTGCTGCCTCCCTCGCCCCATCCGATCACACCATATCACTGCTGCCTCCCTCGCCCCATCCGATCACACCATATCACTGCTGCCTCCCTCGCCCCATCCGATCACACCATATCACTGCTGCCTCCCTCGCCCCATCCGATCACACCATATCACTGCTGATCAAAACCATATCACTGCCTCCCTCGCCCCATCCGATCATACCATATCACTGCTGCCTCCCTCGCCCCATCCGATCACACCATATCACTGCTGCCTCCGATCACCCCATCCGATCATACCATATCACTGCTGCCTCCCTCGCCCCATCCGATCACACCATATCACTGCTGCCTCCCTCGCCTCATCCGATCATACCATATCACTGCTGCCTCCCTCGCCCCATCCGATCACACCATATCACTGCTGCCTCCCTCGCCCCATCCGATCATACCATATCACTGCTGCCTCCCTCGCCCCATCCGATCACACCATATCACTGCTGCCTCCCTCGCCTCATCCGATCACACCATATCACTGCTGCCATGGCAAAGTAGTTGAGCCCTTTGCTTTTCACACTGAAGGTTTAAGTCTTCTCTCTCTCTCTCTCTCTCTCTCTCTCTCTCTCTCTCTCACACACACACACACACACACACACACAGTCTCACACACACACAGACAATCCACTTGCACTGGATTACATGTTACTTCGTAATATTTTGGGCTCTTTTGAACCTCTAGCACTCGAGGCGGACACCAGTAAAAGTGGTTAATAAAAAGAACTCCACAAGGGAGCATGCACTGAAGGGGTTCACCGGTCTTCAGTAGAGTTCCTTCGTAAATAATTGTTTAGGCCCATTTCTTCCCTAAACGATATCGGAAGGTGGGCCGACCTGAGTCATGAAGCCAAGCCCCGGATCTTTGCCTGCTGCACTTTATCGGACTAGATACACACAGGAAGATATGGTGACTTTGCAACAGATGCTGTGAGATCTGGTGTTATATTGTCGCTGCGGTAGCAAATTAGATCAGATGACTACCTTTATCTTCTTCTTCTTCGCCTTCACCAGCTGTACACTCTGGAGGAAAGTTCTGGTTGCTCGTCCACTAGGGAACTGCAGTCCTTCTCCAGAACCTGGGTGTTGCGTGTGCATCAGCTTTCCAGATCTCATTCTCTTGAATACAGACTGTTGGTTCCTTGCCTCTCCGGCAGATGCACTCTGACTTCAAAGTAAGCTCCCCAATTAGTCGACTCTTACGACATGCTTTTGGGGAAGCAAAGAGTCTATTCTTGATTTTCCCCATAATGGGGCCCCGGAACCCACACGGGGGACTACCTTTATGTTATCGATCACATCTCCAAAATGCTTAGGTTAGATCGAGCTGAAGGAATACCTTTGTATTACTCAAAAAGTTAATTAATATATCAGCTTAACCGAGACATTTGGGGCATCGCAACTTGTGCGACAACGGGAATTTAAAATAACTTTCCTCAAAAACAATGATCCGGAGCTGGGTTAGACCGAATGTACTGGGTTCGAATCTACATCGAGGAGAATTGTTTTAAAACAAAACTGACTTTGTACTCCTGTTTGACCCAGCCTGAAACCGGTACTAGGTGATGTCTTGGGAAGTAAAGGCGACCGGTATGATGTTGACCGATGACGTGCCGATTGGTCTATACAAAATACAGGCCACTTTAATGTTATACTACGAGTCATATGGGACGTTTAAAAAGGAAGATTATGAGATTGATAATGATAACATTAGTGAATGTAACCTTTTCTTCACTTCCTAGGTCTTCATCAAAGTGTTGGGGACGGGGGGGGGGGGGGGGACGGGGTGAGGGCTTGGAGTGTATGGATCTTCGAGACGCTCCTTCCAGCTTGTTGTATAAGCGGATTTTCATTTCCTTAAGGCTGTTATTGGTACTATCATTCCATGTTCTGCGTGGTTTTTCCCTTTCTCTGTGTCCATTGTTTTTCCCTCAGCGTGGCACTCTGTGGCTTTGGTGTTTGTACAATGGATCAACATCATGGCACAAGGGTAGTAACCCATAAGTGCCCCTTTCTACTTCTAACTCAAGCCGCGTTAGTTAAATGAAAATAACTCACACATTTTACAAAATTAGGAATATTTTATGCAATCTTTTTTTGTCAACTGAGGCAGTAGAGAGGGTTTTTAAAAGCTACATAAAAAATATCCTGATAAATGAAAGTGAAACATGGACAGTTGGTTAAGTTAGGTTAGTTGCGTATCCTTTACAGGACGTTGCAGAACCAACCCCAACAGCCCCTGGCCGTTATGTGGTTTTTACTAGGCAAATTTAGGTCCTGTAGTTTGCCATTGCTTCTGGACGGTCGGCTGTCTTGATACCACTGTCGAAAACCAACGCAAGGCGCATGACCCGCAGTTGGGATCGAACCCGGCATCCCAGCATTACGAAGCGTTCGCATCGACTTAGCCACAGAGCCGACCGGACAGGTGGTTGATTAGTGGAAATTTATTTGGAAGCTGTGGAGATGTAGTTTTATAGATGAATGATAAGAATACCCTGGACAGATAAACAGAGTATTGGAGATGTCTTGAGAAAAAAAAACATTCACGAAGAGAACTGATTGCCCACATCAGAGAGGGACAAACTACATTCTTTGAAAATGTCATGAGAAGGACACATCTTTAGTACATCGTGACGGTGGTAATGTTGGAGGGGAAGAGATGCTGAGGGAGACCTGAGAGAGAAGATGTTGGATAGTCTGACGTCACGGCGTGGAGGATCACCTGTGTCAGAGCTGACTGAAAGTAGAATGTTCTGGATAGAAATGACTACCAATTAGTTAGTTAGTTGGGTTATCCTCATTGCACTCCGGACATGCCCATAGGTGCTCAGATCCTCCCCTCAGTATGAACCCCAACGTCCGATGGCTAATAGTACCAGTTCTATGTTGATTAACAAGTCTTCTGGCGTAGCTGGTGTGCGTGGTGCGTCTCGTTTTTTGCTGTGCCGATCTTAATTCCCAAGTCTGCCATTCTGGCGAGTGATGTGGATTCACTGCCACCAAAGTCCTCTATCCTTCCCATTTCTCTGAGGGCATTGATAATATCAGCATGATCCATAGGCTGACCGTCGGTAGTGATAGCAGATCCAGTCACCTGTCAGCTTTCCACGTCTGTCGAACAAAAATAAAGGTTGCCACTTGATGTAGGTCTTGAGTGCGACTGAGACCTATGGTTGAGCTCTCCCTTGTGATGGTTCTACGGAGAGTTTCGTTTTGGTCTTCCCTGTTTTCTTTTACCCTCTGGTGACCATATGAAGGCTTGGTGGGGAAGTCTCTGTATGTCCATTCTGAGTACGTGACCGATGTAATTCCAGCGACGCATTCTAATAAAATCAGACACATATTTTTGTTTTGATTCCTGTCTTATAGATGTATTGGACCTAAAGTCCGACCAGTGAACATTCAATAGCTTTCGGAGGCATCTATTCTCGAAAGCGACTAGTTTCTTATCGATTGATACTGATGATTTCCAACTCTCACAACCATAAGTTAGCACTGGGATCACACAGGAATTGAAGACCTTAAGTTTCGTGTGCATGAAGTTGGCTAAAAATATTTCTGAATGCCACAACTATCTGGGAAGTCGCCGTGGCGAAGCGGCTAGACGCTCGTGTGCGGATCGAAAGGTCGCGGGTTCGCTCCCTGACGTAGCCAGACATTTTTCAAAAAATGACCTTGACTTCCAGGTCGACCGAGCCTTGAGTGGGTACCGGGTGCAGTCCCGGAAAGTAAAGGAGGCCAGCATGACGCTGAACGCGTCACCCATCTTGTACCGATTGGTTTAAAAAATATAGGTCTAGCCTTATACGCCCTAAACGCCTAAAGGCGTGGAAAAAGGACTTTCACTTTTACAACTATCTGAATAAGAAAAGTCAATAAGTTATACTGTCTTTGGGAATGAACATACACTTAGTTTCAAGGACAGAAAGAACTAAATAACTAGGTTAATGGTAGTGATTCAAGTGACATTATGTTTATTAATATATCAGCTTGACCGAGACAATAGGAGGATCTTGATCTCTACTGCCTGCATCAGACATTGCATATAAAGCAAACTAATGGTCAGAAAGATCAAGCGCGCTGTTCCACAGTGGCGACACGACCTACAACTTGGCAGCTACTTTAGGCAGCAGATGCGGATACTTGTTGAAGAGCTTCCGTCTTTGTATCTGCTCTTGTTCTCCAACCGGAAGCCAGAAGTTAATCGTGTCACCTTTCGTGAAGGAAAGCAAAATTGTCAACACACAAACACAGATTTAGCAGTTGCCATTTAACAGATTGAAGACACAGAATCTTTTAAAAATTAATATCATGAATAGGTCAAGTAGAAAGCAATTAATGTAACTGGTGGCACAGGATTTTTTTTAAAAAAAAAAAGTGAATATGTGAACATAGTTTTATTTTAATACACGCAAGAGAACGTTTCCACCACCACCACCACCACCACCACCACCACCACCAACAACAACAACAACAACAACAACAACAACAACAACAACAACAACAACAACAAGATTGAAGAAACCCCATCATGCCGTCTCCTTAAGGGAGGTTTGCTTCAGTGCATCCACTACTAACTTTGCGAGCAATACATAGAGGGTCCCCTGTCTCTCCCACTGTGCGACAATGGAAAAACGTCTTTACTGCTTGCTCTCTTTCACGCATTCAGGGGTAATGAGCATATTAGGGCTAGACGTGCATTTTATAGACCAATCGGCACTCGATCGGTGATTTACTGAACATCGCACCGACAGCCTTTACTTCCGAAAATTTTACCTTTTTTCCCATTTAAGGCTTTCTTTGCAAGGAGGAGGGAGGGAAAGGGGGGGGGGGGGGTGGTTCAGGTGCCCAAACCCCTAAGTTGCGGCACCCTAGCTGCACATTACAAATCATACACAGTCAAATGGACACCTTTGACACAGAAAAGAGCTTCGTGCTTAACAGCAGGTGGTGTTGAAAAGTAATCGTAATTACTACCGTAGGTAAACAAACATACAGAGTCTGTAACAGACAAAACAAGAATAGAGACAAACTCAAAGACAAGTTGAAATACAGACAGGCAGATAGACAGACAGCCAGACCGGACAAACTTTATTTTTAAAAGGTCACAAATTAGGCACGCAGGCCCGTCTCACATTCGGTCCTTCCAAGCACTCATCTTTCATACTGCAATGTATTTCATCGTTGACATACATTTACATGCAGGCAAGCAGGCAGGCAGGCAGGCAGGCAGGCAGAAAAGCCGACTGGAAGATCTTACCTAGAGGAAGTCTGGGAGCCAGCGTGTCTAAGAAGTCTTCGGGGATCTTCACCTGGACCTGGAAGGCGACTCTGGCGGGGTGGGCGAAGTCCTTGCAGTTGTCGAGGACCATGAAGTATCTGCCTGGCGACTGGCACATCAGGGATCCGTTGTGGTGCTGGGTGTTGCTCACCCTGTGGTGGGCCCATAATCACATTATCCACACTTTACAGATGGTGTGCCGTCTTCACGGTGAAGGTCGGCTACAATGTTTGGTACTATTTTTTTTTTTAGTTAACCCCATCTCGGGGAATCCGAAAGTTCCCAGGGAAGGTCCAATATCATTAGGAGGGGAGAGGGGATTTAGGGGTTTAGTCGGTGTTCAAGCACACCGTAACATCCCTATAATATTGGACTTTACCGGCGAACTGTCGGATTACCCGAGATGGGGTGAACAAAAAATAAAGGACCCAGTGTGTATTTATTAACAAACATTTTTTTTTACCGTTTTAACCCGTCGTATCTGCATTCTGTCTGACCAACATCTCAAGGAGGAGAATCTAACAGCTACAAATTCTAGAAACCCAGTTCTACCGTAGAGCCATAGTGCACAGTTTCCTGGAGCACCGCACAAGGATGACGGAGTAACCTCTAGGCCAGTGCGGCTAAGTTGCAGTCTAGTGTGGGTATGTTGTGATAGTAGTGACTCTTTGCAGTCTTTGGGAATATTATATAAGCCATCTCTTCCACGGTCAAACTCTCATATTTCTGTTCAAAACCCCCAAGAGTGGGATTTTTTTTTCCCCTTCAAAAAAACCCTGTGACGAGAAGATCGAACTCTAGTATTCGAGGATCATGCAATTGTTAAACGCATTCACTGACCCCCTAAGCCATAAAGCAGTGAGCAGCAGCACACTGTACCCACAACCAAGTCGTGCGTCATCAGAATATCACATGTTTTAAATGTCTGGGCTTCCCCGTATGGGTCCAGGGCCCAGTTTCGGGGAAAACAAGAATAGTCCAACTGCCCACCCAAAAGCATGTCGTAAGAGTCGACTGACTGCGATCTTCCTTCGAAGTAGGAATGCATCTTCATTAAAGGCAAGGAACCAACAGTCTGCATACACATGAGTCAGATTTGTAAATCGAATGTGCATGCAACACTCAGGTTCTGGAACAGGACTTAAGTCCAGAAGTGGGCGAACACCCACAACTTTCCGCCAGAGCTTACAGCTGGTGAATAAGAATAAGAATTGTCTGGCAGCCCCTGGTGTCAAAAGTTATAACACACAGTAGATGGTTTTACATGGGCACATTATGGGGATAATTGGGTACAGAATTACCAGTCAGTAAAACTGGAAACAGTCGACTAAATAAGCTAGGGCGCTTAAGAGAAACCACTAAATGAACGTTGATGAAAGAGACTAAGATGTGCTGGACTGGATTCCATCCATGACGTTGACAAGATTGCACCGGATAAATCGGAATGCACTACGAAATTGGCTAAAACGGGATGCTGATATAAACATTCCTAATACAACTATCTTGGACTGACAAGTTTAAAGAAAGCGAGAAATTGGCAGGGAAAGAAAACAAATTCACGAAAACCTCTTGGAAAACAGGTATCAACGGGAATTCTGTAGCTATAGAAAACATTAGCTGTGGGAGACGAAAACCGATAATTAGACCTATAGAGCCCTTTCCAAATACGGAATAAGACGCTAGTTTCATCTATAGGGTCTTTCCCGACATAAAACACTTACACCCACAGTGTCTTTCCCGACATAAAACACTTACACCCACAGTGTCTTTCCCGACATAAAACACTAACACTTAGACATATACCTACAGTGTCTTTCCTAACATAAACACTCACACTTAGACTTACACCTACAGTGTCTTTCCTAACATAAACACTTACTCTTAGACTTACACCTACAGTGTCTTTCCTAACATAAACACTTACTCTTAGACTTACACCTACAGTGTCTTTCCTAACATAAACACTTACTCTTAGACTTACACCTACAATGTCTTTTCTAACATAAACACTCACACTTAGACTTACACCTACAGTATCTTTCCTAACAAAAAGTCTTACTCTTAGACTTACACCTAAAGTGTCTTTTCTAAAATACACTTACTCTTAGACTTACACCTACAGTGTCTTTCCTAACATAGACACTTTATCTTTGACACACATTCAGTGTCTTTACCGACACAAAACAGTTACACTTAGACTTACACGTCAAGTGCTTTTCCCGACATAAAACACTTACACTTAGACTCACACCTACAGTGTTTATCCTGACATAAAACACTTACACTTAGACTCACACCTACAGTGTTTATCCTGACATAAAACACTTACACTTAGACTCACACCTACAGTGTTTATCCTGACATAAAACACTTACACTTAGACTCACACCTACAGTGTCTTTACCGACTTAAAACACTTACACTTAGACTCACACCTACAGTGTTTTTACCGACATAAAACACTTACACTTAGACTCACACCTACAGTGTTTTTACCGACATAAAACACTTACACTTAGACTCACACCTACAGTGTTTTTACCGACATAAAACACTTACACTTAGACTCACACCTACAGTGTCTTTACCGACTTAAAACACTTACACTTAGACTCACACCTACAGTGTCTTTACCGACATAAAACACTTACACTTAGACTCACACCTACAGTGTTTTTACCGACATAAAACACTTACACTCACACCTACAGTGTTTTTACCGACATAAAACACTTACACTTAGACTCACACTGTGACAATACGCTCGGTGACTCCAGAATGTCTTTCCTCAACCTTCTTTTATTTCTTTGTATTTCGAAAGCATACAGACAAATAGGGATTTGGATACATCCTTAATCTAAGTAGGCGAAATAAACAAGCATTTAATTCTCCTGGGATGTTGGCGATATCACACACTAAAACTGTTTCCCAGACGTTAAGTGTTGAGGTACAGAGATAAGACTGACCAAGCAGACTTACTGACTGGAGATTTGCACACCATTTGTTGGTGTCAGAAAGTTATTCCCCCTGCCAGACCTTCAGGAACAGATAACAAGGGCTAATTGCCATTATCTCCCCCTGAGGTTACCTAAACTGGAGTGCCGGTCCGACGGTCACTATTGACACAGTGAGCGGAAAGTGTTGGCAGAAGAATTGACAAAGTCAGATTGTATTGTGATGACAGGTGAAGTAGACTAGAGGTGTGACTTGTCTTATTTGCTCTGGTCAGATGAATTGACCAGGAGATCCTAGCGTGGGAATTCAAACAATTGTTGTACAGTCACTGACTGACAGCGAATAAACTTGCCCACAGGGGAGGAGCTATGACATCCCTGAATGAGAATGATTTTAGGCGTAATGTAGGAGAAGCTTGATAAAAGTTATAAAGGGCTGAACTATAGGTCTGGTAAATGAGATCCTGTCGAGCACATGCCATCTGTTGGGCTTAACCTAAGCTTGAGACAGAACTTTTGGCATTGTGGTTTCATTTTTCCAGGTAAGATCGAAATTAGGTTTAAATCTATATTTTATGATAGAGATCTAACTGTCTTTTTACTCAAGTGTGTGTCTTCATCACTTTGTAGTACTCCTAGGCGGACATCTCTTCATTCTCGTAGGGCACTGTCACATTGCTTTATTTCCTATTTGATAGTGTCATGAATGTTTTTCGGGCACATGTGTTTCAATGTTGTAAAACCTAAATGTTGTTGTTGCCATTGAAATTTAATGAACTATCATGTTTTTGAAATCACAAGCGTGAAGATAACTTTGGCAATCTTTTCACGTGTGGTTAATGTGAATCTGTATTACATACAGCTTACACACTGAAATGTGTTTAACTCTCGGGAGGCTAATGCGGAGATTGATCCCGGAGAGTAAATCCACGAGATTTGTTATTTGATTCGCCCCAGAACTACTGTTAGCATTCTGGGCGCGTCGATTGTTCCAAGCATAGATTCCAGAACTGGTTCTGTCTGACTGATTGTCATTTTGAGTCTGTACGAGAGATGGCACCTGACGTAGAAGACTTGACTATCATTACAGGACGTGTAGAGGAAGGCAGAAGATGTAACAGTTGGAATGTGAGACATAAGCCCTTCCAAATTGGACAGGAGTGAATGTGAGCATGAGGGAGAGATGAAATGTTTTATTTAAATAAACATGCTTGATGTTAGTATAATATACATGCTTAGTGTACATCTAGAGCAGATACTACAAATATGCGCTTGTTTCTTCATTCTCCAGTTCCCACATTGGGCAGGGACTAGTAGGCATCCATTATTTGCCGACCGTCGAGTGTAACGACCTGCAGAAAGCAGTGAGGACGACAAACTGGAAAAGATAGGCAGGGTCTCAAGCCGAGAACTGTCCTGATGAGCTAAGTTATGTACAACTTTAATGTCATCTATAACATCATCCCAACTCTACTAGCCTAAACAAGTTCATTTTATTTTAGTCAGATTTATTAAATAAATCATGTGTAATGAGTTTCATGATAGTTGAGTAAATTGTGTACTTAGGTTCAAGTGTCTTTGTGCATATTAGTTTACTTCAGCTAACAAATATTTAAATCACTTGATGGGGGCTTTTAAGTAAGGCCAGGAAAGGAGACCAGTCGCAGGGGTTAACTGAGCACCTGGATTATATCACAGTGGGTGTATCCAGATATCTATCTATCCCTTCTCCTTCTCCTGTGGATACAAGTACAGCAACTTTCATTTCATGGAACGAGCCACTCGCTGTTTTCTTGGCTATCCAGGACTGTCTAGGATCAACATAGCTTAGATAATAGTCCAGTTTCTCACGTGGGTGGGCATTGTTAAGGATCAAACCCACACCCTCACTATATCAGTGTATTTACCCACGTGGGAGCGCGACACACACCTACAGTGTCTTTACCGACTTAAAACACTTACACTTAGACTCACACCTACAGTGTCTTTACCGACATAAAACACTTACACTTAGACTCACACCTACAGTGTTTTTCCCGACATAAAACACTTACACTTAGACTCACACCTACAGTGTCTTTACCGACATAAAACACTTACACTTAGACTCACACCTACAGTGTTTTTCCCGACATAAAACACTTACACTTAGACTCACACCTACAGTATTTTTCCCGACATAAAACACTTACACTTAGACGCACACCTACAGTGTTTATCCTGACATAAAACACTTACACTTAGACGCACACCTACAGTGTTTTTCCCGACATAAAACACTTACACTTAGACTCACACCTACAGTATTTTTCCCGACATAAAACACTTACACTTAGACTCACACCTACAGTGTTTTTCCCGACATAAAACACTTACACTTAGACGCACACCTACAGTGTTTTTCCCGACATAAAACACTTACACTTAGACTCACACCTACAGTGTTTTCCCCATCACGGCTGCCTGGTCTTGCATGGTGTTGAGGTAAATAGAAAGCATGATTGGATGGCTGACTTCGTAGAACTCCCAGATAAGAATACTATTGGCTGTTGGCACATGGTACTCATCTATTCTTTTGTCTCCGCCTGGGATGGTCCGATGGCTGGAGTGGGCGACCAGCCTCCTGTTTGTGAAGAGTAAATACTGAGGCACCTGTGAGGATTAAATAAACCATTTTTACAGTTCATGTGTGAATAGTCTCTATTTTAAATATACACATCAAAGAAATTTGCAAATAAGCAAAACAATAATACAGTGTAAATACAAGGTATTTACATTGGCAATTATGAACCTCTTTCAACTACAGTAAAAAGGCGAGAAATGCAATTGTATGAACATGTAATAAGATCTAACGGCCTCTCAAAAACAATACTGCAGAGCTCAGTGGAGGGAAAGAGGAGAAGAGGCAGACCAAGGAAGATCTGGTTACAGAGCCTGACTGACTGAACAGGCTCCAGGCATGCAACCATGAAGTCCTTCGCAACTGACCGCCAAAGGTAGAGAGAGCTAATCAGACAGTCAACAGAAACAGGTGACCCAACGGCACGTAGTGTTACGGGATGAAAATTAGGAAATACCAGGTGGAAAGTTAAATATTTAGAAATTGTAACTTTAAATTAAAAATAAACACCCGTGTCAGACTTTTCTTAGCTCTCGGCAACGGTGACATCTGGATGACTTAATCGTACCCACACGACAACAAAAAATGGCTAAAAATCTTTCACAGGCGTTGCCTAAAAAAGAAAACTTCTATACTTGGCTGACATAAGCATACCAAGATAAAGGGCTAAAATTGTTTCAGATGCGTTGTATAAGAAGAATACTTCCATCCACTGTAATTTGCTAATACCACATTCCGAAAGTATACCCCCCAAGTAGAAGTAATGTTCAGTTTTATTTTGGCTAGGTCGTTCCCCATAGCAAAATACGGATGTTATTCGTGGAACAGCCCCCAGTCATTAAAAGAAAGAAAATATGTGCTTTTGTGCTGAAATGCTATAGAAAGATTCAGTATAGTATGGACAAAGAAGAGAAGAAATACTGCATTTTAAAAGATCTAAGGATCAAGAAAATTGGCTAATGAACATCATCTTGTCTCGGAAGCTGAAATATTTTGGTCATATTTAGCGTCATGGCGGATTGGGGGGAAAATAACAGTAGAAGGCACGGTACCAGGAAGGAGGTGCAGGGGACAAGCAGCATGACAGTGGGCACAGGATATAAGTGACTCCTTGAATACTAAATTACAGGAGCTGGAGAGAGGCTGAGCTTCTTTTAGGCAAACCGTGATGAGAGCGACGTTCTGGGAAGGGCTTGCTACCCTGATGATGATAGTCCCAGTAAAACTAGCCAACCACCTACTAAAAAAAAAAGGCTAGTTGTGTGTTCATTACATAACGTTGCGAAACAAGTCCCAGCATATTTTAGCTACTTGTGATTTTACAAGGCAATTTTACTTTCAGTAGTTTGCCATTGCCATTCAAACGGTCAGCTCTCGATACCACTGTAGAAACCTATTTAACGTGGGGAGGGGTGGGGAAGGGGGTAAAAGTAAATTTGCCGCATCGGATACCAACTGACCTTGCTAGGCCGCTGCTCGGATGTAATGTAAATTACTCTTTTTTACGCCAGTGGCACATCGGGCAAATGATACTAGACTAATACTTTTATAGAGACCAATCGGCTTTCGGAGGCTAATGTTAAAAACATCACGCCGGCAGCCTTTACTTCCTAGGACATTTCCTTTTAAGCTCTTTCAGGCTGAGTTAACCTGAGGCCCAATGTCAGTTTTGAAGAAAAAAAAATCTTTTTTGTTTTGTTTTTAATACACAATTTCGCCACTCGACAACTCATTTGCAAGCAGATATGAAACATGGCCTGCAGATAACGGATAAGGTAGCAGGCGATCAAGACGTAGACATCGATACAAGTGAGAGAATAACATAACGAGATAGCTTAATAGTCTAATCGTCAGTCGCTAGTCGAGGTTCCAGCGTCAATGCAGAGGGGTCGTTCCATAACTGATTCGTTCGTGTGCCAGTGGAAATCACAGAATGTCCTTATTGTCACATTTCCTGGGTCAGTGGAAATCACAGAATGTCCTTATTGTCACATTTCCTGGATCGGCGGAAATCACAGAATGTCCTTACTGTCCTATGTGAAAACTAGTGTAGAACGTGTCAGTCCTATCGAAATCTTGCAGCTTGCACGTGCAAAGTAAATAGGCACACGGCAGCTTTAACATGTGTTAAAATTAGCGGTCCCACATTAGAATTGTAGCCGGAAGTTGGCACAAACGGTTAATGGCCAAAGACGGTACTGTATCTGGAAAAGTACACGCCTTTCTTAACGTAAGAGGCTACGTGCGATTTTAGTGCTGTTAACAACACCACGCGGCGCGAAAATTAAAATAAAATGAACACATTTCACATGAAATCCACAGCTCACAGTGTCGCACCAAAACACACGCATCTCGGTAGCTGGGCGACTGAACCTTTGGACTTCCGGTCCAGAAATGGGGAATTTGCATCACCAATGAAGGCTAGGCTTTTTCAGTGGTCAATCGGTTATCGGCCATTTTGGCCGGAAGTCTTACGGAGTGTAAGACGTATACGAAAGAGTGTTTGATACCATTAACAGCCAAACTTCATTGTGGAGACTACATATAACTGCATATATATTGCATTTAGCTAGGAAAACACACAAATAAAACAGCTTTGCCTACGCTATTGCTCCAGTTGAGATGGGCCATGCAGAGTGGGTTGTTGTTGCTGTCACACAGGTAACCTCCGAGGAATGCTGGGATCTGGTGCTTCTCTATTCTCTGTAGTAAATGTCTGTTGGTCCAAGATAGAAGATAACAAGACTGCATGGTTCGATGTGCGGTGAGGGTGATCTGTGGATGTGCGGTGAGGATGATCTGTGGATGTGCGGTGAGGGTGATCTGTGGATGTGCGGTGAGGGTGATCTGTGGATGTGCGGTGAGGATGATCTGTGGGTGTGCAGTGAGGATAATCTGTGGGTGTGCAGTGAGGATGATCTTTGGATGTGCAGTGAGGATAATCTGTGGGTGTGCAGTGAGGATGATCTGTGGATGTGCGGTGAGGATGATCTGTGGATGTGCAGTGAGGATGATCTGTCGATGTGCAGTGAGGATGATCTGTGGGTGTGCAGTGAGGATGATCTGTCGATGTGCAGTGAGGATGATCTGTCGATGTGCAGTGAGGGTGATCTGTGGATGTGCAGTGAGGATGATCTGTGAATTTGCAGTGAGGATGATCTGTGGATGTGCAGTGAGGATGATCTGTGGATGTGCAGTGAGGATGATCTGTCGATGTGCAGTGAGGGTGATCTGTCGATGTGCAGTGAGGGTGATCTGTCGATGTGCAGTGAGATTTATCTGTCGGTGTGAAGAAAGAATGATACGTCAATGTGAAGGGAGCATGATCTGTCAATGGGCAGTAAGGATGAACTGACGATGGGCAGTAAGGATAAACTGACGATGTGCAGTTAGGATGAATTGACGATGTGCAGTAAGGATGATCTGTCTATGTTAATAGAGGTGGACCTGCCGATGTGAAAAAAGGTTGATCTGTCGATGTGAAGAAAGGTTGATTTGTCGATGTGAAGAAAGGTTGATTTGTCGATGTGAAGAAAAGTTGATCTGTCGATGTGAAGAAAGGTTGATCTGTCGATGTGAAGAAAGGTTGATCTGTCGTTGTGAAGAAAGGTTGATCTGTCGATGTGAAGAAATGTTGATTTGTCGATGTGAAGAAAGGTTGATTTGTCGATGTGAAGAAAGGTTGATTTGTCGATGTGAAGAAAGGTTGATTTGTCGATGTGAAGAAAGGTTCATCTGTCGATGTGAAGAAAGGTTGATCTGTCGATGTGAAGAAAGGATGATCTGTCGATGTGCTGTGAGGAGGATCTGTCGATATGAAGAAAGGTTGATTTGTCGATGTGAAGAAAGGTTGATCTGTCGATGTGAAGAAAGGTTGATCTGTCGATGTGAAGAAAGGTTGATCTGTCGATGTGAAGAAAGGTTGATCTGTCGATGTGAAGAAAGGTTGACCTGTCGATGTGAAGAAAGGTTGATCTGTCGTTGTGAAGAAATGTTGATCTGTCAAAGTGCAACGATGGTGAGCTGTTGATGTGCATTTAGGGCGATCTGTCGATGTGAAGAAAGGTTGATCTGTCGCTGTGAAGAAAGGTTGATCTGTCGATGTGAAGAAAGGTTGATTTGTCGATATGAAGAAAGGTTGATTTGTCGATGTGAAGAAAGGTTGATTTGTCGATGTGAAGAAAAGTTGATTTGTCGATGTGAAGAAAGGTTGATCTGTCGATGTGAAGAAAGGTTGATCTGTCGATGTGAAGAAAGGATGATCTGTCGATGTGCTGTGAGGAGGATCTGTCGATATGAAGAAAGGTTGATTTTTCGATGTGAAGAAAGGTTGATCTGTCGATGTGAAGAAAGGTTGATCTGTCGATGTGAAGAAAGGTTGATCTGTCGATGTGAAGAAAGGTTGATCTGTCGATGTGAAGAAATGTTGATCTGTCAAAGTGCAACGATGGTGAGCTGTTGATGTGCATTTAGGGCGAACTGTCGTTGTATATTTTGAAGGGGGAAAAAGTGCAACCATTTCAAGCCTCGTTTAAGTCTTATAAGACAAAACAGTGACATGCCTATTTAATTTTTCAAAAAAAACTTTTTACGGTGTATCAAATATAAATGTTGACCTCAGTGTTATAAATATTATTTTAGATGTTACATATGGAGACTCAGGAGGACATAGGGTGTAAGGAAAGGCGATTTTGTTTATGATAAGTTAGATGTGGTCGAGGACTCTGGGAGCAAGCGAATAATGCAGAAACCATGATTATGGTCTGGAGAGAGAGAATGATACAGCTGGGAATGACAAGAGATCTGGTCGACACTCTCTACACACACAAGAGAGAATGATACCGCTGGGAATGACAGGAGATCTGGTCGACACTCTCTACACTCACAGGAGATAATGATACAGCTAGGAATGACAGGAGATCTGGTCGACACTCTCTACACTCACAGGAGAGAATGATACAGCTAGGAATGACAGGAGATCTGGTCGACACTCTCTACACTCACAGGAGAGAATGATACAGCTAGGAATGACAGGAGATCTGGTCGACACTCTCTACACTCACAGGAGAGAATGATACAGCTGGGAATGACAGGAGATCTGGTCGACACTCTCTACACTCACAGGAGAGAATGATACAGCTAGGAATGACAGGAGATCTGGTCGACACTCTCTACACTCACAGGAGAGAATGATACAGCTGGGAATGACAGGAGATCTGGTCGACACTCTCTACACTCACAGGAGAGAATGATACAGCTAGGAATGACAGGAGATCTGGTCGACACTCTCTACACTCACAGGAGAGAATGATACAGCTGGGAATGACAGGAGATCTGGTCGACACTCTCTACACTCACAGGAGAGAATGATACAGCTAGGAATGACAGGAGATCTGGTCGACACTCTCTACACTCACAGGAGAGAATGATACAGCTGGGAATGACAGGAGATCTGGTCGACACTCTCTACACTCACAGGAGAGAATGATACAGCTAGGAATGACAGGAGATCTGGTCGACACTCTCTACACTCACAGGAGAGAATGATACAGCTAGGAATGACAGGAGATCTGGTCGACACTCTCTACACTCACAGGAGAGAATGATACAGCTAGGAATGACAGGAGATCTGGTCGACACTCTCTACACTCACAGGAGAGAATGATACAGCTGGGAATGACAGGAGATCTGGTCGACACTCTCTACACTCAAAGGAGAGAATGATACAGCTAGGAATGACAGGAGATCTGGTCGACACTCTCTACACTCACAGGAGAGAATGATACAGCTGGGAATGACAGGAGATCTGGTCGACACTCTCTACACTCACAGGAGAGAATGATACAGCTAGGAATGACAGGAGATCTGGTCGACACTCTCTACACTCACAGGAGAGAATGATACAGCTGGGAATGACAGGAGATCTGGTCGACACTCTCTACACTCACAGGAGAGAATGATACAGCTAGGAATGACAGGAGATCTGGTCGACACTCTCTAAACTCACAGGAGAGAATGATACAGCTAGTAATGACAGGAGATCTGGTCGACACTCTCTACACTCACAGGAGAGAATGATACAGCTAGGAATGACAGGAGATCTGGTCGACACTCTCTACACTCACAGGAGAGAATGATACAGCTAGGAATGACAGGAGATCTGGTCGACACTCTCTACACTCACAGGAGAGAATGATACAGCTAGGAATGACAGGAGATCTGGTCGACACTCTCTACACTCACAGGAGAGAATGATACAGCTAGGAATGACAGGAGATCTGGTCGACACTCTCTACACTCACAGGAGAGAATGATACAGCTGGGAATGACAGGAGATCTGGTCGACACTCTCTACACTCACAGGAGAGAATGATACCGCTGGGAATGACAGGAGATCTGGTCGACACTCTCTACACTCACAGGAGAGAATGATACAGCTAGGAATGACAGGAGATCTGGTCGACACTCTCTACACTCACAGGAGAGAATGATACAGCTAGGAATGACAGGAGATCTGGTCGACACTCTCTACACTCACAGGAGAGAATGATACAGCTGGGAATGACAGGAGATCTGGTCGACACTCTCTACACTCACAGGAGAGAATGATACAGCTAGGAATGACAGGAGATCTGGTCGACACTCTCTACACTCACAGGAGAGAATGATACAGCTAGGAATGACAGGAGATCTGGTCGACACTCTCTACACTCACAGGAGAGAATGATACAGCTAGGAATGACAGGAGATCTGGTCGACACTCTCTACACTCACAGGAGAGAATGATACAGCTAGGAATGACAGGAGATCTGGTCGACACTTTCTACACTCACAGGAGAGAATGATACAGCTAGGAATGACAGGAGATCTGGTCGACACTCTCTACACTCACAGGAGAGAATGATACAGCTGGGAATGACAGGAGATCTGGTCGACACTCTCTACACTCACAGGAGAGAATGATACAGCTAGGAATGACAGGAGATCTGGTCGACACTCTCTACACTCACAGGAGAGAATGATACAGCTAGGAATGACAGGAGATCTGGTCGACACTCTCTACACTCACAGGAGAGAATGATACAGCTGGGAATGACAGGAGATCTGGTCGACACTCTCTACACTCACAGGAGAGAATGATACAGCTAGGAATGACAGGAGATCTGGTCGACACTCTCTACACTCACAGGAGAGAATGATACAGCTGGGAATGACAGGAGATCTGGTCGACACTCTCTACACTCACAGGAGAGAATGATACAGCTAGGAATGACAGGAGATCTGGTCGACACTCTCTACACTCACAGGAGAGAATGATACAGCTAGGAATGACAGGAGATCTGGTCGACACTCTCTACACTCACAGGAGAGAATGATACAGCTAGGAATGACAGGAGATCTGGTCGACACTCTCTACACTCACAGGAGAGAATGATACAGCTAGGAATGACAGGAGATCTGGTCGACACTCTCTACACTCACAGGAGAGAATGATACAGCTAGGAATGACAGGAGATCTGGTCGACACTCTCTACACTCACAGGAGAGAATGATACAGCTGGGAATGACAGGAGATCTGGTCGACACTCTCTACACTCACAGGAGAGAATGATACAGCTAGGAATGACAGGAGATCTGGTCGACACTCTCTACACTCACAGGAGAGAATGATACAGCTAGGAATGACAGGAGATCTGGTCGACACTCTCTACACTCACAGGAGAGAATGATACCGCTGGGAATGACAGGAGATCTAGTCGACACTCTACACTCACAGGAGAGAATGATACAGCTGGAAATGACAGGAGATCTGGTAAATACTCTACACTCACAAATGAAAAGCAAGACGGACATAAAATCAGACTGCAACTGGAAGCAACAGAATTTGAACTTTTCGCTGACTGCTGAACATTAGGAGGGAGCGCTTATGGGAATGTACTGATTGCCATGATGTCAGTTATTAGTTTCACATTCATTGACATACGGTCCTGAACACATATGCGACCAGTTGAAAGAGCTTATTCATCTGGTTAAAAGCCGCCTGCCGCTGGGGAACTCGTTTTGGATAAGGCAGACAGACAATCTGAAAACCATATATGAACAAATGCTGAAGGAAGTTACCAATTTAGATGAAACAGCATGTAAAAGGATGTGTAAATTTGGAGTTAAGTGTAAATCCAGCATATAAGGATGTATGAGAGGAAGAGTACAACCAGTGTCGTTTCTTTAAAAAAAAACAGTATCTACTATTGAAGGCATTTGCTGCGGCAGATGGTGCGTTTGTGGGTAAGCTATCAATGCTATGAAGTCGATTCTAGAATCTGAAATCAGTTATCAGAATTCTCAAGTGAAAGTGATAGCAATGAGGAAATGACATTAATATATAATTGTATCAATTACACGTTGAGCATTCTAAAACTTAAACAAAGTGTTTAAAAAAAATCAAATTAGTTTCGTATCCTTGATAGAACCAACCCCGGCATTGTTTGACTGTTTGGTTTTTACAAAGCAAATTGCATGCTCAGTAGTTTGCCGTTGTCCGCTGAAGGTCGGTTGTCAATATTGTCAATACTTTACTTTACTTTACTTAGTCGCTCCTCTTCTACCTTGGGGTGTATAGGTTTGCCAGAGAGATCGCCAGACGTCTCTATCAGCAGTTTTCTTTCTGGCTTTTTTCCATTGCAGTCCTCTGTCAAATATTGTCAATACAACTGTCGAAATCAAAGCGGTCTGCTGTCAAATCGTCTGCAATTAGAATCAAATCTGATGTTTCAGAATTATGAAGCGCGTTCCTAAAGCCTAAGCCACAGACGCCGATAAAGTAGGTAAAGAATACGTTTTGTTTGTCTCTGGATAAAAAGGTTCTAGTCTTAAATCTTTACAATTAAAACTCGCGGGGCGATATATTTTATATTATGCCGGGCTACTTTACTGCCCAGTTCATTTTCCGGTACCAATTTCAGGTTATGTCGACTTGAAGGACATGTCACTCCATTTTGAGGGGATTCGAAAATATGACAATGGGTATTAGGTAAGAGTACATTCCGCTTTATTACCATGATTCCCAATAAAAATATACACGAGAACGATTTCAGTTTAAATTCGTCATCATCGTCATTACGCAATTATAGTCCCTTAACATGGTATATGTGCTTAAGTGAGCACTGTTGATTGCTTTATCAGCCCCTCCACATCTATCAGGCAGTTGCAGTGGACTTGATGTTTGCCTGTCCAGTCGATCCTATTTTATATCTATGTCTTTCTTTGTCTTCTTTTCGTATCTGCTGAGCCCTATGGTATCGTTTGGAGAGGTCGGTAGAACTTGTTACAGTCGGAATTAATGGGTTAAAATATACACAGAGACTAGACTCTGTTGGTGTAATGAGGGAATTCCCGCTGCTACTAGTGCCACAAACCACCTGCTAATAAGGTTGCTGCTTACTATACTTCGTTTTCTCCCTCTTCCCTCCTTTAATCATCAGGATCAGTAATTGTAATCTACTACCAAGTTGGAAGGCAGATCCGAACAGCAAAGATCACTCTTACAGACGCAAACGCACTCCATGGCACAGACGGTCAGAAGTATCCATGTATGTAAAGTGTACCCCACCAGGACATCACAAAAACGATAAACACCCGGTGACACATAGTGCGACCATGCGGATGAGGATCACATGTGGAGAGCTCCCGGAAACCCCGTTCAGCAGTTTGGTCATATTTTAGGCCCGGTTATATTTAGGGCCCCGGAAAAAGACAGGGTGGGGCTTCAAAATAACTAAAAACTGCATCCCACAAGAAGATGAAGAGATTACTCAAAACATTAGACTTGGGGCTTAAAACTCCGTATGATGATGGTGGTGGTGGTGATGATTGAGCTGCCTGTCTTCTGCCACACAAAAGTGCATCTGCATAAAGATAAAGGTAAAGTCGGGAGATGTGAACCAGCGTCATTGCACACGGTTATAAACCATAAGTGCTCTACCACCAGTAGATAAGATAAGAAATTGTCCGCCTGTGTCGCCGTCCGCACGCAACTCCGTAGCTACAGGGATATTCCTCCATTTACCCCAGAGTGTCACCTCTGGTTCTCATTTCCTAGAGGCTGGGTGAACCCCAGGAACCACACGGTTTGGAACACTGGAATTGGGCTGTAACAAGTCCCAGATGGATTTGAAAGCGAGTTTCCTATCGACTGAGCTAACTTATCAAGCTGAGGGTCGGTGACTTGATACTCACTTCAGGTATCCTTGACCGAGTACCTTGATCAGTTTCAGCGTGGAACGTTTCAGGTAAGGTCTGAGGGAGATGTACACGTGCGGGTACAGGACATGGACGTTTATAATGAGAATCTCTTTGACTAGACCCGGGTACAGATCTTGTAGAACTTCCAAGATCTGTGGATTATACGAAATAATCTTTTCTGGCAAAGAGAATCGCCATTACCACAAGCCGAATCACTATCATAGCCACCACTATTACTGTCACGATTAGCATCATTACTTCTATCGCCATTACAGTTATCAAAACAATTCGCATAATCCTCGTTGTCACCACTGTCTAAATCCCTACCTTCACCACTAGTAACTATCACAGATATCCCGCTGCTTTGACTGTCTTTTTACATGACTGCTACTATGATCACCACTACCACTAACACAGTGATCACTATCGCCAGTATCACTTTCACCGACACCAATATCATCCCTACCACAATTACTCCTACAACAGCCATCACTACTACTGACACTGCCATAATTATCAATATCACCGCTGTCATCATCACCACCCTTACCATTACTACCACTAACCCCTGCCATCAAAACGCCGACTATCACAATCCCCACTACCAACCTCATAACTGTCACTTGCGTCACTGCTATCACCATCACCATCCAATCACCATTGCCACTATCACGCGCATCACTATCACTGCTATCGCAATCACCACCCTATCACCATTCATACTATCACCATCAAAACTATCACCATCCATACTATCACCATCACCATCCACACTATCACCATCCATACTATCACCATCACCCTAAATACTATCTCCATCACTATCCATACTATCATATCCATACTATTATATCCATACTATCATATCCATACTATCATATCAATACTATCACAATCACTATCCATACTATCACCATAGCTATCCATACTATAACCATCACTATCCAAACTATCACCATTACTATCACTACTATCACCAACACTATCCATACTATCACTATCGCCACTATCATCACCCATACTACTACCATCCACACTATGATCATCACCATCATATATATCAATATCACCATCCATACTATCAGCATCCCTATCCATTATGTCAGTATCACCATCTATACTATCACCATCACCATCCATACTATCACCATCACCATCCATACTATCACCATCACCATCTATACTATCACCATCACCATCCATACTATCACCATCACCATTCATACTATCACCATCACCATCTATACTATCACCATCACCATCTATACTATCACCATCACCATCCATACTATCACCATCACCATCCATACTATCACCATCACCATCCATACTATCACCATCACCATCCATACTATCACCATCACCATCCATACTATCACCATCACCATCCATACTATCACCATCACCATCCATACTATCACCATCACCATCTATACTATCACCATCACCATCCATACTATCACCATCACCATCCATACTATCACCATCACCATCCATACTATCACCATCACCATCCATACTATCACCATCACCATCCATACTATCACCATCACCATCCATACTATCACCATCACCATCCATACTATCACCATCACCATCCATACTATCAGCATCACCATCCATACTATCACCATCACCATCCATACTATCACCATCACCATCCATACTATCACCATCACCATCCATACTATCACCATCACCATCTATACTATCACCATCACAATCTATACTATCACCATCACCATCTATACTATCACCATCACCATCCATACTATCACCATCACCATCTATACTATCACCATCACCATCTATACTATCACCATCACCATCCATACCATCACCATCACCATCTATACTATCACCATCACCATCTATACTATCACCATCACCATCCATACTATCACCATCACCATCTATACTATCACCATCACCATCCATACTATCACCATCACCATCTATACTATCACCATCACCATCCATACTATCACCATCACCATCGATACTATCACCATCACCATCTATACTATCACCATCTATACTATCACCATCAACATCCATACTATCACCATCACCATCTATACTATCACCATCACCATCCATACTATCACCATCACCATCCATACTATCACCATTACCATCCATACTATCACCATCACCATCCATACTATCACCATCACCATCGATACTATCACCATCACCATCTATACTATCACCATCACCATCTATACTATCACCATCACCATCCTCACTATCACCATCACCATCTATACTATCACCATCACCATCCATACTATCACCATCACCATCTATACTATCACCATCACCATCCATACTATCACCATCACCATCCATACTATCAATATCACCATCCATTCTATCACTATCACCATCCATACTATCAATATCACCATCCATTCTATCACCATCACCATCCATACTATCACCATCACCATCGATACTATCACCATCACCATCCATACTATCACCATCACCATCCATACTATCACCATAACCATCGATACTATCACCATCACCATCCATACTATCACCATCACCATCGATACTATCACCATCACCATCTATACTATCACCATCACCATCTATACTATCACCATCACCATCCATACTATCACCATCACCATCTATACTATCACCATCACCATCTATACTATCACCATCACCATCTATACTATCACCATCACCATCCATACTATCACCATCACCATCTATACTATCACCATCACCATCCATACTATCACCATCACCATCCATACTATCACCATCACCATCCATACTATGACCATCACCATCCATACTATCAATATCACCATCCATTCTATCACCATCACCCCTATCATCACTAACCTTGTCACCACTATCACTATTATAATCCCTATCATTACCAACAGCCTTCAAGAAGAAGACTTTCAACAGCTTCACCCCTACCATCTCCAAATGTATCACTCTCACGTTTGCCTTCACCATCATCGTCTCTTTTCATGATTTGATGACACCCTAGAACATGCACGCAGACATAAACATTACTAAAACAAGTCAAGGGTCCTGTCCCGTTCATTGACGAGCCAGATATATAAATCACCATCATTACTATCCGGTTGAAACTGTATATGTCACTTAGGGCTCGTAAAATCTGTTTCTCCAATCCTTTCTGTCCTGCGCAATCCTTTCGAGAGCATAGCTGGATTTCAATCCAAAACATCGGTGCAAGTCAAACTTTACGGGTCGCTGAGTGAATTACAAAAGACAGAGAAGCTCATAGTAGAGACAACATTGCAGATATAGCTAATCTATTTCAAGACAACGAAAGAAGAAGAAGAAGAAGAAGAAGAAGAAGAAGAAGAAGAAGAAGAAGAAGAAGAAGAAGAAGAAGAAGAAGAAGAAGAAGAAGAAGAAGAAGAAGAAGAAGCAGAAGAACGAACGAACGAACGAACTTTATTTTTAAAGAGTCACAAATTGGGCACGCAGGCCCGTTTTACATTCGGCTCTTCTAGCCAACCATCTTTCCCACAAAAGTTGTATTTTACTAATAAAGCATGTTATTATCATATGATGATATGCATATTATAAATATTATAAAAGAAAACAAAAGCACGAGTTGTAAAATGCATGCAGAAGAAGAAGAAGAAGAAAAGAAGAAGAAGAAGAAGAAGAAGAAGAAGAAGAAGAAGAAGAAGAAGAAGAAGAAGAAGAAGAAGAAGAAGAAGAAGAAGAAGAAGAAGAAGAAGAAGAAGAAGAAGTCCAGCACCTTCAAGAAGAACTTCTCTCTCTCTCTCTCTCTCTCTCTCTCTCTCTCTCTCTCTCTCTCTCTCTCTCTCTCTCTCTCTCTCTCTCTCTCTCTCTCTCTCTGATGTTGAAGTTAAGGTCGCCAGGATCGACTTGAATAAACCGGTTTATCCCAAATAGTTCGGTCTCTTTCCGTGAAAGACTAGCTGCTTGACAAGTATTTCCACACAGCACGAGCAACAGGACTCTAGCCACAATCACCAGTGATCTCTGTAAAAAAACAGACGTGTTGAAGACATTGATAATAAACATGCTGATACTGGTGATGACGATGCTAATGACAACAATGATGGTCACGTAAGTCTACTATTAAATGCACTAACTACCTCAGCCCAAGCCCGGAGTGCAGGATTCCATACGGTGTCCTTGTTAGAGTTATGCATGTCAACAATCACTAAGATCGTGTCCACTGTTCGGCCAGTTGTTCGGGATAACCTCTGTGAAGTGTACAGCATTGTTATAGTCGCATGTTTACACATGTTTTGATAAAATATTGCACTTCTTCTGTCTGTCTGTCTGTCTGTCTGTCTGTCTGTCTGTCTGTCGGTCGGTCGGTCGGTCGGTCGGTCGGTCGGTCGGTCGGTCGGTCGGTCGGTCGGTCGGTCGGTCGGTCGGTCGGTCGGTCGGTCGGTCGGTCGGTCGGTCGGTCGGTCGGTCGGTCGGTCGGTCGGTCGGTCGGTCGGTCGGTCGGTCGGTCGGTCGGTCGGTCGGTCGGTCGGTCGGTCGGTCGGTCGGTCGGTCGGTCGGTCGGTCGGTCGGTCGGTCGGTCGGTCGGTCGGTCGGTCGGTCGGTCGGTCGGTCGGTCGGTCGGTCGGTCGGTCGGTCGGTCGGTCGGTCGGTCGGTCGGTCGGTCGGTCGGTCGGTCGGTCGGTCGGTCGGTCGGTCGGTCGGTCGGTCTATCTTTATCTATCTCTATCTATCTATCTCTATCTATCTCTATCTATCTCTATCTATCTCTATCTATCTCTATCTATCTCTATCTATCTATCTCTATCTATCTCTATCTATCTCTATCTATATCTATCTATATCTATCTATATCTATCTATATCTATCTATATCTATCTATATCTATCTCTCTATCTCTATATCTATCTCTATCTATCTATCTATCTATATCTATCTCTATCTATCTATCTATATCTATCTCTATCTATCTCTATCTATCTATCTCTATCTATCTATCTCTATCTATCTATCTCTATCTATCTATCTCTATCTATCTATCTCTATCTATCTCTATCTATCTATCTCTATCTATCTATCTCTATCTTCTTCTTCTTTCGTTCGCATGAAATAAATTGTCTATATCTGCAAAGCCGTCTCTTGTATGAATTTCACTGTCTTTTGTAATTCACTAAGCGGCCCGTAAAGTTTGACTTCCACAAGTGTCTCTTTTAGCCAAATGTTTTGCCTGAAAGCGTTGAATATGGGACAGTCTTGAAGGATGTGATCTGTTGTTTCAGGTGCCAGTCCACAAGTACACATGGCCGATTGGCCAATCTTAAATTTGTTGTACATGTGGGAGCGAAGTCTATTGTGCCCTGTTCTAAGGCGAAGGATAATAACTTGCTCTGGTCTGTCCATAATATGGTAATCATCTTGTGCCAGTTTCGGTGGCATTCTGATTGATTTGATCATTCTCTTCTTCTGTTGATAAGAGACTGGTATGTCAGGTTGTTTCTTCCGTTGCACCTTCCTTAGCTAGTTTGATCAGCTTTTTCGTTTCCGGGAACTCCACAGTGGGAAGGTATCCACTGCATTACTAATTTACAGCGGTTGCCTAGTTCGGATAATAGTGTCCGTATGCTTGGTAATTTTCCAGACTGGAGTGACTGAAGTACTGCTTTTGCATCTGTCAGGAATACTACTGGTTGTGAAAAATA